GAAAACATTAAAGACCAACTACAATATTGATCTCGCTTCTCTGCTTCAGCAAACTCCCACAATTCAAGAAATTCTGAAACAAAAACAACAACTACATGGAAATAAATATTGAGTTGTTTTATTACCGATTTGCTTAAATATAAACATTGGCTGTTACAGATATTAATGCCTATATATGGTGCATCCTTAGTAAGTCATAAATTCAAATCAAACTTTTAATTTTTATTTATTGCTTGTATATAATGTGGATTATATTTTCTGACAGCATCAGCACCTTGTGTAAAAAAATATTATAAAATTGCCATCATGCTTCATAAACTTATTTTAAATCTGCATTATTTCTGTTGACTAGCTCAATGTGCTGCGCTTTGTGCTTTTCTCACATTGGTCCCACCCAGACACCTCAGCTCAGCTCAGCTTGCAGACACTTAGAGAGGAAGCTTCAGGCAAACTCCTTTACACTGCTACCATCGATGCTGTTTCACCGTGTGAACGTGCACAGGCTAAAACAGTATTTCTATAAGAATTGGAAATCCAGACTTCAGCTGCATGGTAGACTGGTCAACACCGTGGTACCATGTGGAAACTTCATTCCCATTAAAGACAACTCCTATAAGTTGCCTTGTGTTATGTCATAGGAAGGAAGTAAGCATGGGAGCTTGTTGTCTGGGTTTATGGGAGAATATCTAATGAGAATATTTACTGAAAAACAAATCCAAGCTGTAGGTGATAAACCTCATTTAAAGGGAACAGAAAGGACTTTACTAAAACCTCTGGTTACTAAAAATGATAGCAGACACATTTTCCTTTTGTTTCAAACTATTTGTTTTGAATATAAAGGAACTAAGGAACAAAAATCTAATCTGATACACAAGATATAAACGCAAAGGAGGGGGGGAAATGTATTTAAAGAAACACTGTATAACTTGTATTCACCAGGGGCTGTAATTTACAAGTTTAGGACCCCTGAAAGAAACTGACAGTTTGAGCCTTAAACATAAGGGAGCTCTGACAGTTGCATTGGTGTCAACAGGTAACATTTCAAAGAGCGTTGGTAAAGCACTAAGCTTAAAGTCGTAGGGAAACAGCTGTTCCAATCGTTGCATTTCCTAATTCCCCCGAATGGTGCACGACTTCACAGATATGAATAAAGATGAAAATAAAGAGAATGTATTTGATCATTTATCAAGGGGGCAGGATTGTTGTGGCGGAAGGTTTGCAAGCAAGTTTGGTTGTGGCCGGTTTGTCGGAAGCATCTTGCTAACCAGTTAGAAGCTGCAAGAGGAGAGTTTTGTGTCGGAGGTCGTGGATGAGTCTCCTCCGTCATACATTTTTTATTTAGAGCAGAAAAGCGGGGAAGGAGATGTTATGGAAGAGGACGGCAGGGCGGCAGAAGCTTATAAATAAACTGAATTGAATTAAATATATTGTCCAACCCTACAACACACAGGCTGCCTAGCCTTATGCGTCCTGAATGTTTTCATCACAGGTGACAAGTTCCTCTCTTTGCTTTTAAGTTGAAAATCCCCACTAACTGAGCGATTAGTGTCCTGATTGTCTCCTTTCTGGATTAAAAGCTGCCAGGTGGATTTGTAGCTGTAGCTTAGATGAGCAGAGGAGTGAAGTAACAGCTTGATGCATTAACATATTTCAAGCTATCCCTTCAGAGCATCCTATAGGTGCGCTCCTGAAATCACAGCTACGACCTCCCCGTAACTTAACTAAAGTGAAGGTTTTGACAATGATGAGAAACATGTTGTTAAAGAGAAAAAAAAATCGTCTTTAGGAGGAAATTTTGAGTCAAGACAGATGCAATTAAGCTGGCAAACCTAAATGCTGAATGATAGCATTTGATTTGGATTAATGTTTATTTTAAAGATTCACCTGATCCAGAAAATGCTAAGTAGCAAAATGTTAAGGTGCATTTGAACTTTCCAGCCTCTGCCTATAGCACCCATAAAAACTAAGAGATGAAAGTAGAAAACAGAAGAATCCCGAATGAATAACTGAAAAGTGTTATAATGATTTTAACATACAGTAAAAATGCATTACAGCAGAAAGTGTTTTTTTGTGCTTTTTTTTTAAAAGGGAGAATATTGTGTTTCCATTAGACATTAATACAAAGACAGAACGTTTTATAGCACATTGCAAAAGGTTTTTAGAAACTAAGCAGCTTTTGTGGTAGAATGTTTCAGTGTCAGCTGAGGGACAGAACACACCAGAATCCCTACTTTACAAACGCTCTGACTGTTTTTTTTTTTTTTTTTATCTAGACGCATGATCTGGGTATGAAAGCTTATCTAACAATCTCGCAAATTAAACAGCCTTTCTCTGACATTAAGTATAGTGAACATTTTGCTGTAATAACTGACAGCTTGAAAGCAGATTGTCAGTGTTCTGCAGACATTTCCTGAGAGTCTATTTTTAAATGATTGAAAGAATTTTACAGAATATTACGGGGTAAGATAACAGTCGATAAAAATGTATAAATATCTGAATTGGGAAATTCAAGTCAATTAAGTAAATACATTTGTGTTTAATCCTTGTTTTTAGCTCATAAATATCTACATGTGACATCAGATCTTCATCTGTGACAATACACATTTAGAAGTTATAATTAGCTGGTAGAAGGTTACAACTTTGCAAAAATACAAACAAAAATTACCAATTTAAAAATATGAATCAATGATTCTTACTCATAAATTTGTGATTTGTACTGCAGATTTCGTCTTTGTATTCTAAAATTGTTACTAGTAAATTTGTGCCTCGTCTTCATAAATTTGTTACTTATGCATGTGCATTTTGATTGGTATTAGTAAATTGGTGATTCATAACTATACATGTGTGATTTGTACTTGAACATTTCTGACTCTGAGTAGAAAATCTGGGATTTATACTCCTAAACTTGCAATATTTACTTGTACATTTCTGATTCTCGCCTATAAATGTGTAACTAATTCGCATCCATTTTGATTGATAAGTAAATTTGTAATTTATAACAATAAACGTGTGATTTGTACTCATACATTCCTTTGTAATTCATACTAATAAATTTGTGATGTCTAACTGTAAATTTCTGATTCTTGCCAATAAATGTGTTACTCATAAACTTGTGATTTTACTTGCAATTTTCTGATTTGTAACTGAGAATGAGTCGTTATACTCATGAATCTGTTATTTGCAACTGCTTATTTGTAATTTGTACTCGTCAATATTTAATCCAGGGCTGGTCAGTGGAACAGTGGGTAGCACTGCTGCCTTGCAGCAAGAAGGTTACAGGTTTGATTCCTGACCCCAGGGTCATGTTTTCCCTGAGCACGCAATGGTTCTCTCCGGGTACTCCGGCTTCGTCCCACAGTCCAAAAACACGACTGTTAGGTTAATGCGTGAATAGTGTGTGAATGGTTGTTTGTCTCTGAGTTGCCCTGGCGACCTGTCCAGGGTGTACCCCCCCTCTCGCCCGTAGACCGCTAGAGATCAGCACCAGCACCCCTTGTGACCCCAGCTGGAATTAAGCGTGAAAGAAAATGGATGGATGGACGTTTAATCCATACTTATAAATTTGTGATTCACACTCATAAATCTGTAATTCATAGCTATAAAAGTGTGATTTGTACCCGTAAATGTGTGATTCATGAATATGCGAATTGTACTTCTTTTGTTGGAAAGTTGTAACTTTCTAACTTGTATTCAAAACTTTTAAAGTTGTAGGGAAACAGCCATTCCTACCGTTGCATTTCCTAATTCTCCCGAATGGTGCACGACTTTACCCGAGTGAATAAAGTGAATGCGATTGGTCGATTATCAAGGGGGCGGGATTGTTGTGGTGGAAGGTTCACAAGCAAGTTTGATTGCGGCCAGTTTGTCGGAAGCATCTTGCTAACCAGTTAGCAACTTAATGCTAGTAGGTTCGCAATGGGAAATTCCATTGGGACCAAGTAGCACTAAATTGGTGACTTAGCAACGACACTGTCAAGGAATACTATGGACAGCGGAAACATGCAAGAGGAGGAGTGTTTAGTGTCAGAAGTCGTGGATGAGTCTCCTCCATCATACATTTTTTATTTAGAGGAGGAAAGCGGGGACGAAGATCTTGTGGAAGAGGACGCCAGGGCAGCAGAAGCTTGGTTTGGTGTAGAAGGCTTACAGCCGTACATGTTTGAGCCCTTGCCTCGCAACGCTGCCAGTTCTGTTAGCTCTACGCTGCCAAAGACACAGACGTCCATCCCCGTGAACACTGGGACGGAAATGGGAAAGGAAATGATTCCTATTTCTTATCTCAACCGTTGCGTATATTAGCTGCGACACATGAATCAAGATGTCATGACTGAAAAGATTTGATGACAGATGATCGTTGATATATGATTGGCTGAATTTAGGTGTACAGGCTGATGTATAACTAACTGGCCTGCATAAGATAACAAAAAAAACAACACAGATTTTCCAACTTTTGGGACAATGTGGTCTGATAAGGAGTAGATTTATATACATGTTTAAGCCAGAATGATTTGACATTTAAATATGACTTCCCTACGACTTTAAACTTGTATTCTCACAGATCATTTATCACTTAAGTTATGCATTGATTGTTATTTACAGATTCCAGCATCTATATACAATTTCAGCTTGAAACCCTCTCATCTGTGTTCAGGTAACTATAAATCACATTCATTCCCAGAGGAACAGTAATTCACAGTAACAGGATTATTAGTCTGCTCCTGACTGATGGATCCTTCATTCCTCCACAGATTGAGATGTGTGCAAATTAAAAACTCGGTGACAAACACTCGAGCAACAGCAAATCAAGCAGATGTTTAAAAAGCATCAGATCAGGTCTGCAGAAATGTGCCTTAAATGATTTTGATGAGTGGGTGTGTCAGTTCGAAGCTGTGGCTAAAGCTCTCATTATAGTAATACTCCAGCTGAAATCTGCAGAGGGGAGGTGGGGGAGACCATGAATGAGGAATAGATCCATTCAGGCTGGGTTATCTGCATCTTACCGTCTAGGTTTTCTCTGTCGCTGATGTGCTGCAGATTACATCCCGTGTCCTCACGACTCAACTCCGGCTCCGGTCGGTAGGGCTCCAGCCTGGAGTGGTTGCTCCTCCGGTGTTTGGGGCTCGACGACACGCAGCAAGAGGTTGTATTCCCCATTTTTATTTTTATTTTAAACGCAGTCCCCGGCGATAGTCTTCGCACCCACTGCTTTATTTCCCGACACGACGTCGGTTGAAGACGGGGGGGAAAAAACGGGGCGGTAACGCTGCAAGCTGCCTCCCCGGTATCGTTAGCGCTACACGCCTGTCTGCGCAGCTCCAACGGCGCCTCGGAGGTCGAGCGGAGCCATTTAAACGGAATAAGACGGAAAGCTGGGCAGGTTAAACCGACAAAAAGAGCCCAACGTCCTCCTTTAAACCTTCAGGCAGCGCCTCTACAGCTTCGGCTTCCCCTCCCTCCTCCTTCGGCTCCGTCTTGCCTCGTATTTCCTGACAGAAAACACAGTTATTGTTACAAATACATTTTCGTGTCCTGAAGCTCCAATGAAGGTTACAAATCCGCTTTAAGACCAGTTGGGAAGCTGTTTCGACGTAGTGCGCTACATTGTACTCCAGATTGCTGTGGCAGCTACATCCGCTGCTGTGCTGCTTTCAGGTGCTCGACAGAAAGTAATAATTTCTAGTTTAAAGAAAATTCCTATAAAGACATTTAATGTAGGCCTAACTAAAGACTTGTAAAAAAGCTAATTTAATAATAATAATAAAAAACTGCATGTAACATACTTTTAAATATGAATTAATGTTTTTCCCATTTATGGGAAATATTTTCGAATAATTTTTTTTATAGCTTTAAAAAAATAATAAACAGGAAAAACCACACCGGCTAAACCGATTGTAAATTTAATTTTTTCCGAGGAATTTGCTGTTATAAGCACCTTTTTACCCCAATTTATGATACTCTATGTTGAATGACACAGGAAATTACAATATTACGGTCGGTACTTGAATACATCCGCATTGTGGCCGTGATGGAATCGTTTCCGGTTCAAGTGGGTGGTTATAGCTGAGTAAAAATAAACTATAGTGATATTCCTCTGGGTTTTACAGTTGGATTGTTGCAGATGGGTTTTCATAGTCATAGTTTTGCTTTTTTATTTTCTTTATTGCAGGTATTATACTGCTAAATGGTAACATGCAACTATTTCCCCACCACCTCCTATCTAAAAAGCATCAAAAAGCTAAAGTTTTTAATCTCCTCATTAGGATTTTTGGAATTTGTAAGTGTGGAGATAATGATAAAAACAATTCTATTCTCTGTTCACTTTTGGTACCCTTGAAAAGCATGACTGTCCCTTATTCACATAGTTTTGTGCCCTACAGGACAGATTTTGTTTAAAGATCATTAAAATTTAAGTAGTGGGAAAGCAAAATTGAATTTTAAAAATTACAATTTAACTGTTGTTTCAAAAAATATATTAATATAGTGGTACTCAATCCTGCTCCTCTACCTAAAGTACCACTGTCCAGCAAGTTTAAGGTGTCTCCTTGGTACCACATACCTTATTTGTATGAAGGGATGATTGACAGGCTTCTGTAGCACCTCTTAGTTGCTGAGAAAAATTATGCAATGATTTGAAGCAGGTGGGCTGCTTCAAATCATTGCATAGAGACTTCTAAAAGATGTGGAGAAGGGAGAACTTGACGAGGAATGAAAACCTCATATACCTCATTCAAAGTGGTTATGTTATGGTGAGCCATTTTTTATATTTATGCTGCTATAGGTTTAGGCTGCTGGAGGACATAAACACTGATTTTCATCATTTTGCTTCATTCTATCTCTATTTTTCTATCCTGTAGTATTTGTTAGTTCCACCCATAACTTTATGATCTTTCTGGGTTTTTTTTTTGTCATAGTAGCTTCATATGGTCTGTTCCTGTTTTACTGTGACTCCATCCAGGAGAGAAATGTCAGCTGGGCTGCTTCCATTTACATTTCTTTTATAGATGTAGGGGATGGATCTTTTCTTTTTTGTGTAGTCCTGTTTCTTTTACTGTGACTAACTGTATGTGCTCTCTGTTTAATCCTTTGACATTGGAACTGGCTTGGAGCTCACCAGCCTGGCTGTGTCTTCCTGGATAGGGACACTCATGGAGCTAGTTAATTTACCTGTTATACAACTGCTTTTTTTTTTGTATGTCTCCTTCCATCTAAATGAACCCCAATTGGCCTCAGCAGAAGGCACACTGAGGCCCAATCTCAAACCCGGCCTTAAGCAATAAACCTCCATTTGTGAAACAGTAGAGGATCCACCACATTAGGGCAGTCCCAAACCACATAATTGGTAGGGCTAGTGGACCGTTCAGCCCTTAGTGAGTTTGCATCAATGCAGACTTGCCGCAGTTCAGCATCGGGTGTGATGGGGAACAAATGCTGGAAGCAACACCTGTATTCAAATAAGTAATAATAATAATAATTTTAGAAAATCATAAGTTACGGGGAAAAAAAGACCTTATTAATCCAAAAAGAGGAGGTCATCTTTGAAATTGTTTGATTTGAATGTGCAAATATTTTGAAGAATGGGACAAATGTTTGATGCCATGTCAACCTGTGCCACAGAGCTACGGCCATGCTCATGTGTTGCCATAGTAATGACTGCTTTCCTTTACCTTGTGAGGGAGGAGGGCATCCCATTCTCCTTTATACCTCCCCACCTTCTAGAGTGTGGCATCCCATAGTTTAGGGGTAGTGATTAGGGGACAGTTTGAGATTGTGCCTGGGGCTGGTTCTGCTGGAGGTTTCTTCCAGTGGAAAGTGAGTTTTTCTACTCCAACGTCGCTGCATGCATGCTCACTGTGAAGGTTTGCTAAAGAATTAGCGACAAAATGAAAACGAAGCTCGTTGCCCCAACCCAATTCAGGAGTTCCATGTCTTTCAAGTCGATTACTCGATGTAATCAACTGGTTTGCCTTGATGGAAAACTTTTAACCAATCTGACTGTATTGTCTCTGTACAGTGCCTTCAGATCCATTATGTTGTAAATTGGCGCTATATAAATAAACTGAATTGAACTTTCATATAAACCATCTCTTTTGTTCTTTATATCCGGAAGAGTTATAGAGCACATGCTCTGGGTTTACCGATATGGCTGACAGTCTTGTGCTCAAAGAAAGTAAACTTTTTCCAGTAATACAGAGATTAGACCTATATACCCTATGAAACATGGCACTTTATGGCTGATCTATCAAATAATCTTTTTGAAAGTGAAATTTTTTTTAAATTGGTGCATTACACACTTTGAGGCATATTCCAATTTTGTTTAATTTCAAATTGTTTTGATGAAGTCAGACCGAAGCAAAGAATGTCTGTGGAAAGGTTTATGGGCTGAATTTCCTTCCATCCAGAACATTAGCAAGAAAAGGGCAACTACCATTTCAGACATTTCAGATCCCACACAACCTGTTTGGACTTTTACCTTCAGTTTCACGCTTCAAAACGCTATTTAATAAAACCAGTTACGGCAGCGACAGTTTCTCCCCCCAGGCTGTCAATCAGACAAACACGCCTTTTCTGTGGAAAAGCAAATCAAATATATTTATTTATATGGCAAATTTAAAAACTGCCATAATTGGCCGAAATGCTGCACACAAAAGAAACAAATTACAAAATTCAAATGTAAATAGAAAACTACAAAAGGAGTCAAAAATATCTGCTGCAATGCAATCAAGTACTCATCAAATGTATTTTAAGGAGAAATAAAACGGAGGTAAAGCCTCTAATATGTGGCTGAAATGCATTTAAGGAGCTATAACTAAGAAAAATACCAGATCACCTGCAGACCTCCTAGACCTTTTAAATACTAAACAGAAGTAGTGAGACTGTAGGCGGTCAGACATGCATAAAGGAATCGGCCCATTCAGGGTTTAAAAGGTCAACGATAACATTTTTTTAACCAGTAAGGGGCCTTTAAACAGAAACAAGCACTGGGGAGTTAGGAGGTAAAGTACCTGTTTGAAATTACAAAGTTTCTTTTGAATAAGTTTCACTATATAAAGGGGTCTTCTTTCTACAAAGGGCTATAGCAGTTTGCACAGATAAAATGGTATTAATAACATTTGTCATAGGAAAAAAAATATTAATATTTACAAAAAGAAAATATTGCATTCCCCTTTTTTATTATGTATTTTAAATGTCTCCCTTAAGTGCAAAAGTGAATCCGAAGTCAAATTTCAGGTTGTATGAATCTACTTGGTGATTTAAGAATCATTATGGTTCTGATTCAATACTACGGCGCGCCCTACTGGCGATGTAAGTACATTACACCTGTTTCTTTATTTTTTATTTTTATTTTTTATTTTTTTATTTTTTTCTTAAAAAAAAAAAATTTTTTTGTTTTTTAAATGAGGGGTTTAGTGTAGCTTGAAAAGTAAAACTCAGAGGCTTCAGGAAGAAATCTTGAATGAATTACTTAACCTCGAGCGTTAAACATATTTCCGTCATTTGGTTCTGTTTAACAGCATGTGGGATTAAATGCAGAATCTGAACAGGCTTACTTCTTCTTCCAAATTATTCAGTCTAAAAAATGGGGAGTTGGGAGGTAAAGTACCCGTTTGAAATTACGTTTATTTTGAATAAGTTTCACTTTATAAAATGTCTTCTTTCTACAAAGGGCTATAGCAGTTTGCACAGATAAAATGGTATTAATAACATTTGTAATAGGAAAAAAATATGTTCATATTTACAAAAAGAAAATATTGTATTCTCCTTTTTTTATAACGTATTTTAAATGTCTCCCTTAAGTGCAAAAGTGAATCCGAAGTCACATTTCAGGTTGTATGAATCTACTTGGTGATTTCAGAATCATTATGGTTCTGATTCAATACTACGGCGCGCCCTACTGGCGATGTAAGTACATTACATCTGTTTTTTTGTTGTTTTTTTTTAATTGGTGTTTTTTTTCCCAAAAAATATATATTTTTTCTTTTTAAATAAGGGGTTTAGTGTAGCTTGAAACGTAAAACTCAGAGGCTTCAGGAAGACATCTTGAATGAATTACTTGACCTGGAATGTTAAACATATTTCTGTCATTTGGTTCTGCTTAACAGTATGTGGGATTAAATGCAGAATCTAAACAGGCTTACTTCTTATTCCAAATTATTTAGTCTAAAAAAGTTCATTTTATCAACCCTAGATAATGGCTTATAGAAGCTTCTTTATTCTCAGGGCCTGTTCCTGCTATAGGTACTGAGCTGGTGAACATCATTACGGTATACTGCTCTCCCTGCATACAATAAAACTGGAGACTCCTTAAATTTTTTGAACCTTTCAGCATTTTAAGTCTTTTTTTTTTTTTTTCTACTTTCAACTTTGATGCATCATCCTTCTCACTGTTTTCTCTGATTAGTTAAAATGGTCTTATAGGACAAAGATTTGGTCTGAAAGAGTCCTTTCCTGGGCAAAAAAAGGTTAAAAAAATGTATTGACTTTTTTTTCCGACAAGCTGACTGGCAGTTCTCAGTAGCAGTGGAAGGAGGGGTAGTAATTTGTTTCCCCATGCTCCATACAGCTGAGGAAAGCTAATCTCTCCAGCCTTACAGTACCTATGACTCCTGATTAAAGGAACTTCCCAAATGTTGCATCAACATCAACTCTAATTCAAGGCTGTAGAAAGTTTTTCTTTTTATTTAAACCTTGAAACTTCCCCTAATTTCATCCCAAAACACAAGAGTAAATATTAAATAAATACAATTAATAGTTTGTTTTCATTACCACAATGTCAATATTAAATAACTTTATTTGGGGGTAAAATTATGGAAAAAAATCAAAGATTTTCTTCAATATGATAAACTATACCAATGGAACAGTGCTGCAGACATTAAAAATACACAAAGAAAATAAAGTCATAACTTGTCAAGCATTAAGGATTTAAACGGCAAAGAAAAATCAACCTTCTGACCTCAATCGGTAAAACAGAAATGTTAAATATACACCTAATGGTGCATTCAGACCGCACGCGAAGGCTGTAGTAAATGCAGTGCATTCACATAAAATTCCTATAAAAAGAGCACGGTGAGAGCATTCCTTGAATTTTTAGAACCTTTCAGCATTTGAAACTGGTTTTTTTTTTTCTACCTTCAGTTTACATGTATTATCCTTCAGGTTTAATGGTTGGAGTTTCCATATTGCATGCATTAAATAATTTGAAAAAACACGCTGAGCTTCTCACTGTTTTCTCCTTTCCCCCCCCAACAAACTGACTGGCAGTTCACAGCAGCAGTGGAAGGAGGGGTAGTAATTTGTTTCACCATTCTCCATACAGCTGAGAAAAACTAATCTCTTCAGCCTTACAGTACCTATGACTCCTGATTAAAGGAACTTCCCAAATGTTGCATCAACATCAACTCTAATTCAGGGCTGTAGAAAGTTTTATTTACCTTGAAACTTCCCCTAATTCGTATCCAAGTACATAAACAAGAGTCTAGGGTTCAATAGACTTTTTTTTTCTCGTTTCAATTAAATACAATTAATAGTTTGTTTGCATTAGCTCAGTATCAAGTAGCTTTAGCTGGGGGGCGAAATGGAGGAAAAATCTAGATTTTTTTTTTTTTTATATGGTGAAACTATAGCAAGACCTTAAAAATACACAGAAATAGTCAAAACTTTTCAAGCAATGAGGATTTAATCAAAAAATGAATATAAACCTTTCTTAAATGTGGTGGATTCACATAGAATTTCTATACAAAGTGTGCGGTGAGAGCATTCACTGCTCCGCGCTTTTGGTGTTTTGGCAGAAATGTAACACCTTCACCTCGTGTTACTAGATAGAGCTGAGGTGTTGTTAAACAGCAGCACAAGCTTTTCTATTAAATGGAGACACAGCAGCCAATCGGGGACTGGTAGAAGGTGAAGCTTTTTTTTTTACATGAAATGGAAAACGAAGAAAATAACGTTAAAAAGGCAGAAATAAGGAATGCTCTCTAGAGGTCTTTAGGTGGCTTTTAAAAAAAAAGTTGTGCTAATTTAGTGGTAGAAGCACTGCTCATCCTCCCTCACCTCCAGCACAGAGGCCGGTCTGTTACTGCCCACTGCCCAGCATCAGTGCTTTAGTTCAGCTGAATCTGACCGAATCAGAGCTGCGTCTTGATGAACCAAAGTGGAATCTTCTTTTCAGAGCTTTTAGGGGTTTATCAAAAAAAATAAATAAATAAAAAATGGTCTCCCCAAGGCAATCCAAAAGTTTTTTTATGATCAGCAATTTAGCAGCAGTCCATTATGTTAAGTTTCCTCTGTGCTTTTATTCTGAAATACTGACAGACACCAAGACCAGCAAGGCAGGAGCTGAATGTTGAAAAAAACCCTGAAAAACTGAAAAGAAAAAAAAAAGCTGCACGTTGAAGAAAACTGTAAATCATATCACAGTCTCTGTATCAAACCGACCATATCAATTCGTTTTTTTTTTCCCCCCCAATGTTTGCATTTGATCACTGCTGCACTTTAATAAATGGAAATGTCATTTTGTATACACAGAGTTTATACAAAATGATAATAAAGTTTGTCTAAGTCTAACAAATGACACAGGATAAAGACGAGCAACAGCAGGTCCAAAGCGGAAAGTCTGGGAGGCTGTTTATTTACTAAATATTAATCATTCCAGCCACTAAATAAGGGAAACATTCCCACTGTTATATTCAATACCAGCACAGGAATGAGATGTGTTGTTCTGCAATAACTTTATATCACGAAACGAGCGCAGCACTAAAAATTAGGAATACTTCTATCTTAAAAACCATATCAACTAAAACGCTAGTTTTACCTGCGCAAATGAAAAGCTCTGAAAAAGTAGGCTAGATAATTTTGACTCAATTTGGAGGCGATAGTTGACCCCTGGGTAACCTAAATAAATTATCGTCAATATCTCTGAAACAACAGCTTAACATATGACCATTTTTTTATTTATTCATTTTTAAATTTTACAAAAGAACATTTTAAATGCTCAAAATTGCACTAATGAAGTAACCATTCGGTTTATTTGCATTTTTTCACTTCAGTGGGGTGTATATGTATTTGATGATGCAGTCCAGGGTGTAAACATAGTGCATATGATGCAGAGGCACCTGTGGGGTTTGAGGAAATAGCTGCGTTCACCAACTCCTTGTGAACGCACCATAACAAAACTGCTGGAAAAATCTGCAGTAATAAATACCGTAATAAAATAAACAATGGCATCAGTCTTGTAAGAGATGCGCTATCACATATATGAACCAAAGATCTGTACAGTCTGGTTTTCAGCTCAAATAGAAAAATCTAATTCCTGCAAATATGGATCCATCAGGAATTTTGGAATGGAAAAGGAACCATACCACGGTCCATAAAGCCCAGATTATTAAACCTTGACCCTTTAGAAATACCTTCCAATATTCTGCTTTTTAAAATTAGATTATCAGCCAATTATTCTGAATATTAATGTAAAGTGACAGTGGCATAAGTCTAGTTTTGTTTTTATTTTTATTTAATCTATCAACAACAAATATTTATTGTGTCTAGTAAACATGGATGAATCAATTTTTTTTTGCCCTCACTACCTTTCAACCCTGTATTCTCCTTCCAACCTACTGCTCCTAATGTTGTTGTTGTATAATTATAACCCTGGAATCCAGACCTCGTGTAAACATGCAGAAAATGAAAGACGTGGAGTGTTTTTCATGTAAGCTCCTTGTTATTCCAAACTCCTTCGAGACAAGTCACAAAAAAACAAAGTTCACAGGATTGCAGTTCCTGATCTCTGCTGTGGAGTCACTCTGCTTTGGAGGGCCTTGAACTCCTCTATGAGAGAACTGTTTTGCTCCTCCAGCTCGGCCAAGCGGTTCTCAAGGCATCTGATGTATTCATTCTTCTTTCGCCGACACATCCGCGCAGCTTCCCTGGAAGCAAAAGAAGCAACAATCAGAAAATTTAACATCTGTTCTTCTCTCCAAGATTAAATCGAGACCTGATTGCTGTCATAATGAATGGAGGCTTCGTGTGTAAGGCTCAGATTAGGGATGCACGATATTTTAAAACTCATGTAGCCGATAACCGATATCGATACCGATGTTAAAGCTGGACAAAAATAAGTAGTCATTGAAAATAGCAGTTTTGTTATCCATTTCTGACACTTTGAAAAATAATAAACTCAAATATATTTTCATATGCTGATATCAAATAGATTTTTAAAAACGCGGTATCGATCTATTTTACTTTTTAAAATCTCGTGAAATTTCATCGTTCTGTTACAAACTCTCGTGATATTTTGCAAATTCTTGTGAGATTTTGTTAGTAAAATAGATCGATACCGTGTCAATATATCAACATATAAAAATATGGCAAAATTTCGTGAATTTTCGGGGGATTTCGTAGCAATACGAATGTAGCAATATTTCATTAGTAAAAGAGATTGATATGGCGTTTTTAAATGGCAATATATCAGCATATGAAGATACTGTGATATTTTAATGTATCAATATTTTTTCCCTCGTCTTTAGAAGTTTTTAAGTCTGTAAAAAAGAAGTTTTTGAGGAAGAAGAAGTAGTATTTATTTTTTTAGACTTTAGAAACTCAGAAGCTGATCAAATATCGGGTTAAATATCGGTGGAGTGGCCGATGTCCGATATTCAGTTTTAAGGCCGATACCGATAGGGGGCCGATTATATCGTGCATCCCTAGTTCAGATCATCATATCTACAGCCATGCAGTTGACAAACTAAACTTTGCCTGGATGTGAGTTTAAAAAAAGGACAAAAATGACAACCAACTAAACAAAATTATAAGATTTAAGCCACAAACAAAACAGAGGGGTTTTTTTGTGCACTAACAATGGTATATTCTGTTTAGGATCATACTGGCTGATAATATCTGCTTGGTATATTAGAATGAGACCGCTCAACAATCAGTCGTGACTGATCCTTCCTCTACCTGTTTTTCATCCGGCGGCGCTCCCTCTTCTTTAAGTCATCCTCTAAAGGCGTCTGAGAGCCATTGCCCTGAAACCCAGGCTCAGATGTGGGAATGCGCAGATCACCTACACCCATTTCCAAAGGAGCATCGCCTGGGAGGAGGCAGAATAAATATGTAAGGCTAATCTACTACCTGCAAGTGATGTACAGTAAAATAATTAATAGATAAATATTCCAAAAAAGTTAGGAAAAAATCCACTGGACTTTGTTTTGAAGTTTGAAGATGTTTTGCTTCCCATCCAGGAAGCTTTTTCAATTCAAAATCAATAGATAAATACAGTGAAAGACAAATGTTAAAATCCTTAAGAAATCTCTTAAAAAAATATGCAAATATCATTGCCTCCTCTATGTTTTAATTACAGCACTTTGATCTTAATTACGTTTGCTATCAGTGACAGAGGTGGTCCTGCATAGTTCTGCCTCCAATGCATCAGTGTAGTAAACGTTTCCATGTTTAAAATCAATTTCAGTCACTTTAAAGTCAATGAAAAAGCCAAAAGTAGCTTAAAGCGCACAGGAGATTAAAACCCAACTCAGTTATAATGCAGAAGAATTTCAACCAATCGGAATTCAGCATCCCACCACAAAGCTCCGCCCCTCAAGCTTCAGGGTAACAAGTGGCCTCTGAGAACAACCCTGTTTGAGAATTCCTGAAGAAAAACAGGAGCTTATTGTGTCTGTGTGCAAATTTTCAAAAGTTGACGCGTTCATATACATTTGCTTGGGGATTTAAAATTTTATATGGTACAGAGAGTTTGATTTCAATTTCACCTTTTATTTTTAATGTAGTTCTAATTAACTATTCTCAATGTAAATAGAAACATAACATTATTAGTTTACCTTAGATTAAGTGAGAAGCATTTGACAATTATGGCATAATTATCACAACACTGCAACAATGTAAGAAAAACCATCTTACTGTTGCTGAATTTAGAAAATCATGGAATGGGAACTTTATATTTTTTCAGTTAAAGAAAGAAATCTTCAGGGCTCTTGTACCACACTCTTTTTCTACTCTTCAGCCAGGGATTCCTTCCCTAATTATTCACTCAGCTGTATACGTAGCAGTTGGGCTTTTCTCAAAGTCCTCCAATTAACAGGAAGTGTTATACATACAGGATGTGTTTATCTCATTTTCTTTAAGTTTTCATAAAAGGAAAAGTGAGAAAAAAAACAAGCAGACTGATGACTGATGTTGATAATGTTCCAAGCATATACAAAGCCACAGATATTTAAGGTAACATTGGTAAAGAGTATTAATCCAGATTATATTCCGTAACTGTTTGGTCCCTATCAGAGTTCCTCATTTAATTCATTGTGCAAAACTCTGCTGATTAATTCAGCCATATGTGATGTTTGAATAAAATGAGCTGTATCTCTAATCATTGTGTGGTCGGTGACCGACGTCAGGGTACATCTCATTCGCTACTTCATATTTACATGTTGCTGCTGGGGATCCGTTCCAGGAAAAACAATGACGTCAGCCTACTGCTGCTATGTGAGCGAGTGAGTGATCGAGCGGCGCTCTGAGGCACTTTACAGCTGACGGGAGAGAAAACCATAGAGAGATAGGGCTGATTTTTATCGATATAACCCTGCTTTATTCCAGCATGTTCAATGTTCCAGTTAAATATTCCACATGACTTATTATTAGTAAGTATTCTCTAGACCAGGGGTCACCAGCTTTTTTAGGCTGAGGGTTACTTTATGGGTTCTGAGTCATAGGACGGGCTCCCACTACTGACCTATGAACTAGAGGAGTTGGCGTTCACCTGAACTTCATAGATAATAAACATATTTCTATTATTTCTTTTCATTTTTAATTTGCTTTTAGATATTCTCATTATGAAATCCATATAAATCCTCAAACGTTCTAATTTATTGATATGATAAAATGCTTCAAAATAAGAGCTTCAGTAAAAAATAACATTTCAGATTTAGTCCACTGGTGAATTGTTGATGCTGAGGGCACCCCATATTGTCCTTGAGGGCCCCTTGGTGCCCACGGGCACCACGTTGATGACCCCTGCTTTAGACGTTAAGGAGTTTTCTGCACCTTAATCAGGAAGTATTCTGAAGAATCCAGTTTTTAAGTTTACTAAAGTAAAAAACAAAAATCAAATATATACAGTAGTTCAAAGCAGAACTGTCTGCCTCACTGCAAGAGTAAATACTTTCATTTGTTGACATTTAATATCAACAGGTTTAAAAAGTGCTGTTCCTCTAAGTTCCAATGTAAAACATGCAGCCGTACCTGATTCTCTCTCATCACCAGTTACAGCCATGCTGCATCCAATTCCTGGTCCCTCAGAAGAACCTGTCTTCATCAGAGTCTTCCTCTCCACTGACATGTCCCCAAGACCAACTGTGAGGTTAAGCATGCAGTTTACAATTAGAGGCATTGACATCACCATGGCATCACCAGCCTCCTGATGTCAACAGTATGGTTTGTTCTCTCCCCCGACACAGAGCTATGAGTCAGGGACTGTGTTTGTGTTTCCTCAGCTTGAGCTGTGAATGATGCTGCTTTTCAAGCCCAGGCTGGGATTATTCAGAGTGCTGTGAAATAAAGCCTTTCTTTAAAACTTACAACCAGCACTGGGAGTAACCATTTAAAACTCGAAGACCCCAAACTGATGGCGGTATGGAGCGGGGACCCCCTAATTATATATATTGTGTTATATCAAACTGGTTGCTATAGTGACTCTATTACAGATGGAGTCATGTAATGAAAGTAATTTCACTCTGGGATTATTAAAGTATTTCTGATTTCTCTTTAAAGGGACAGGTGTTGTGAATGAAACGGTGCCCAGCTTAAAAGAGCTCCTGTGTGTCGCTGAATGTGTGCATTGATGACTAAAAGACATCTTCTGCCTCCATTTATCTGTTTACTAGTGTGTTGAATTCATGTTAATGTGGATTTAAAGACATTTTAATTAGTGGAAAAAATTGCAGAGGGGAATATAAAAAAAAAAGTCTAATCAACCAAAACTTTCGCGACCCACATGCAATACCTCCATGGACCCACTAAGGGTCGCGGACCCCCCTGTTGAAGACGTCAGATTAAAAAACTTCCTGTTAAATTCAACAGAAGGAGGAATCTCCTGTTAATCAATCATCTGACTTAACCCTATAATGCCAAATGTATCATATTTGATACATACGGTTTCTGAAATGTTTTGCGTCTGACACCTTTTGCATAATTTAATGGTAAAAACTTTGCTCAAAATCCTATTGTACACAATCAGATATACCTGATAACACAGCCAGTAGAAGACTACACAAAAAATAATTTTGACTTATCGCATAGTAATAAATTATTAATATCAAAAATGTATTTCTGTTTTTTTCTTTTTACATATTTTGTTAAAAGGCCAAATAAGGACTTCAAACCAAAAAAAAAGTAATTTTCTGTTTTGTTTTATTCTTGGATCGGGCTTTAAAGGGATAATCCTGAACAGAAAACTGATTGATTTACTCAAACATTTCACAATGAATAGGTTTTCAGTGTTTTTTGTCTATAGGAGTAAAAACACACTCTCAGCAATTCCAGCACCTTTCCTTCATATTCACTGCTAAAGGAATGATTGCAGGTGTACATGTTAAAGCATCATACTGCCATAAAAGAACACTAAATCCATCTTTGGGTACCTTGTTATTATATTAGAAAAATTTTAATTGTGGGGGTTCAACTATATAACTACAGTAAGCTTTTTTTTGTCTGTGGGAAGCCCCGTTGAGAAATAACAACAAAATCCCCATTAGCAGAATTACAACAAAACCTTTCAAAGAAATCTCACTGCAACGTTTTCTTTTCATTTTTATCAAGCTTTTAAAGATGATCCTAGTTTTTGGGAAGTACAAAAAACAACTTAAATCCCCTCAGCCACTGATTAGTAGGCTGAACGAGGACACAGGTTAATCTTGAAGCATAGAGAGGAGGAATGTAAGGATCACAGAACTGGAGAAGCAGATAAGGGTGGAATCCTGGGACCAATGGGTTTCCATGGCAACTATGATATGATGTTCTGATGAAAACTAGGTGTTTGCAAGTGATATAAAAAAAAAAAAAGTGCTTTCTGGTATTCTCTTACAAACACAAACATTCAGTAATGGGACACCAGTTTAGTGAAATTCATGGAGGTATGTGCTTTGCTTAGACCAGGTTGGTTTTAAGGCTTTTTTAACAGCAGAACCTATAGGAGGGATTGGTATTAAAGAAAAACAAATGTGACCGGGACCTCACAGCCGCTCTTAAGCAGGTGGGAGGTTTCAAACCTCATCAAAAGAATGGGAACGAGGCAGCTTTGAATTACAAACAATAAACTGGCAATTGTTCATTTAGCAGCAGATCATGGAAGAAAAATGGCCACACTAATTTCTGATTTTAAACTGAAAGTTCTGACTTCATTCTCAGATTTCTGGATTTAATCTCAAAATTCTGACTTTATTCTCAGAATTTTGGATTTAATCCAAGAATTATATTCACAGAATACTTGCAATATTCCTACTATGTCGAAGTGATAACCCGACTTTTGGCGAGAGTCCTAAGTAATTTGACTTTAAATTTAGAAAATTAAGATTCAGACTTCTAAGATTAAAGTCAGAATTTTTTTGTTTTTTTAACAGCCCTATTCCTCTTCTGTAACATTATGATCCTAAGACTTTGTAGTCTTTTAAAGAAATGAGTACTTCCCCAAATTTGACACAAAATCAATGTTTTTTTTACCATCACAGAATCTCTAAATATAACAGAAAATCTGAACAAATTCCTACATGGAACACTTTCCTATGTGTATCAGACGCATGTTTTTTATTTAACCTGATAACAGAGCAATGCTGAGCAACGTTGGGACCTTTAGGAAGAGAATGTAGGAAAACCCTGCTTTCATTTCTACATTTAGGCAACTACACTGCAAAAAATCTAAACCTACATAAGTCATTTTTTTCTTAAAATAAGTGCATTTGTTCTTGAATTGAGGAGGCAAAAGATACATTTTTCCAATGGAACAAGACAATTTACACTTAAAATAAGAAATCATAATTGCATTGTCTTATTTCAAGTACATATTATCTAATTATCTTACTGTAAGAGTAAAATTACTCATTCCATTGGCAAACTATCTCATTTACCTGCTCAAATTAAGGGTAAATACACTTAATTTAAGAAATTTTTACTTATTTCTAGATCGTTTTTGCAGTGTAAAAATAAATAACAAAGGAGAAAACCACTGTTGCCTTGTGGTGAGATGGTCCAGGGCATGTTCTGTTTGGACCCTGCGGCCTTCTGCATCTCATAAGCTGGTGTCCACAGTCTGAGACCATGTATGTCAGGTTTTTTCTGAATTATTTTGCCTTAGTTCTTGCCCTGTGTGTTTATTTTTCCCTGTGACTGATCACTGATCCCCTTACCGTTCGCAGTAGCAGTAGAACTGTTTGGTAGAGGTAATACATCCGTGAAATATGCCATCTGCTGTGTAGTCTGTCGTACTTGGATGCTTGGTTCAGGCCGGGTTGGATAAGGTGCTCGGTTCACCTGGGCAGGAACATCTTAACAGAAGATCCAAATAAAGTGGCTTTCAGGCTGAGAGTATAAAGAAGATAACTGGACGGTTTTAGTTCTCAGAAACCTTTCTTTTGCAAATGGTTTAATCTCCTTATTGTTGATTTATTTCTAAAGTGAATCCTTAAAGGTGCTGTAGAAGATCTTGGAAAAATGTTTCCAGCAAGCTATATTTTTGAACATACACAGTCATGCCTCTCCCTTCAGAGCACCTCTCGAAACCACGCCTTAAAAGCAGTCTAGAGCAGCAGAAGCAGCACTAATGATGCAGAGCGCTATGATCCCTTCTGTGAAACAGTTTACTAACACCTAAATTAACTTAAAATTTCGAAATCTGCCGGCAAAACATGTTGGCTTTTATTATCCTGGTGCCTGCAGCCAGTCTTCCGCCTTCCAGCCGCCGCAGCAAACCGCGAGGCGGTGACCGGGCCATAGGCTGCTGTTGAATGGAATTCCTAATGACCGCCAGTATACGGTGGTCTGAGCGGCTTCAACAGAAATAATATTTGAAGGCAGGACTGTAATCTGGATGAACTGACTGCACTGACCATGTTTTCAGGTGGACTTTCTCACTTCAAAATAGATTCAAACTACTTTTTACCCATAGATTACAGCAAATATAGCTGCCAAAGCGCATCAGACCCACTTTTTCCACCAGAGCAGCAAAGATAGGGTGACCAGACGTCCTCTTTTTTTTCCCCCCGTACATGTCCTACTTTTCAGACCTAAAAATAGGTCTGAGGGGCATTTCAAAATCGTCCAGGATTTTGGTCAACTGCAGTGCAGCACGTAGTTGAAACAGGGAGCCAGCGGGGGACGGAGCAAACGAACCTGACCCGGTAACGATAGCCTGGACACCTGCGTCCTCGTGCTTCCCCCCGCCTGCCTTACCCCCCCTCTTCCAGCTGAGAACGGTCGGCTCATGGCTCTCTGCCGAGGTGCGGTCCAGTCAGCGGCCCAGCAGTCGCATCAGAACTAAACTTGTACAAGCATCAAAAATGAAACAGCACGCCCCTTTTTGCTGCACCAGATTCTTTAGGTGTGAACGTAGCATAGCAGTGGCTAGCTTCCAGCTATGGCGTCCTGCAGGAGCATTGGGGGTCGATTTGTTCATGTGTCAGGGTACGTGCACAGGTGGGAGGGACAAGCAGATGACCATGATTGACGAGTCATGGAACCAATCGTGCACAACAGACCATCTTTTGTGATTGGTTGGGGTTATTCATTGATTTCTCACTGTGGTGGGGACCATTTATTTTAGTTTCACTTCCAGACCTTCTACTTCTCTGCTTGCTAAGCGGCTGGGGGGAGATCTTTAAGCCACGTGGTAAAAAATGTGTCATAAAGATCACCTACTGCACCTTTAAATGATCAAAAAGATGTTGTAAGACCACTCCAACGCAACTTCCCTTTCAAAGTTTATAGATATTCTGCATCAATATATGCACAAAGGTCTAGATTAAAATGAGGTATTACCTGGCACTAAAATCCAAAATCCATGCTGCGAGATGTGACCGCATGGACAGTAACACATGGACGACCAAGGTGGGTTTGGAATCATGTCAATGACAGGGGCTGCCAAAAAAAGCTCAGCTAGAGCAAGAAAAAGCACAGACAGACATATCTATTGAATAATTAATCCAGAATCAGCATGTGTATCACTCTCACTTTTTTTAAATTATCCATAGCTCTATACAAATGAATGTTAAGAACTGTTAGAGATGTTTCAGACATGCTTACTGTATTGAGCTCCAGACATTTCTTGGATAAAGTCAGCGTTACCCTCTGTCTGAAACTGGTGCTTTCTGACGATTCGCTGAGCCTGTAAGAAAAAACCGGTGGCACTGAAAGTTAAGAAATGGACAAAGACTCAGGCTCCAAATCTATATTCTATCTCTGTTCTTAAACTTAATTTTAACAAATTCTACTAAATATATAACCTGACAAAATAAATAGGGATGCACGATTTTAGCCGATAACCGATACCGATGTTAAAGCTGGACAAAAATAAGTAGTCATTGAAAATAGCAGTTCTGTTATCCATTTCTGACACTTTGAAAATCATTTACTCAAATATATTTTCATATGCTGATATCAAATTGATTTTTAAAAACGCGGTATCGATCTATTTTACTTTCAAAATCTCGTGAAATTTCATCGTTCTGTTACAAACTCTCGTGATATTTTGCAAATTCTTGTGAGATTTTGTTAGTAAAATAGATCGATACCGCGTCAATATATCAACATATAAAAATATGGCAACATTTCGTGAATTTTCGGGGGATTTCGTAGCATAACGATGACATATAGCAATATTTCATTAGTAAAAGAGATTGATATGGTGTTTTTAAATCGCAATATATCAGCATATGAAGATATTGGGATATTTTAATGTATCAATATTTTTTCCCTCGTCTTTAGAAGTTTTTAAGTCTGTAAAAAAGAAGTTTTTGAGGAAGAAGAAGAAGTAGTATTTATTTTTTTAGACTTTAGAAACTCAGAAGCTGATCAAATATTGGGTTAAATATCGGTGGGGTGGCCGATGTCCGATATTCAGTTTTAAGGCCGATACAGGCCAATACCGATAGGGGGCCGATTATATCGTGCATCCCTAAAAATAAACGTAAAAGATTACTTGTGGGGAAAAAAAAATGGTTAAGCTTTTTTGTCCAGTAACAAACACTTTCCCCAATAACACAGATTTTTGCACAACTTCTGAGAGAAAGGGGGAATATTTGGAGGAAGTGGGGTAGAACATTTTCAGAGTAATTAATGTAGAAGCTGGCGCTTGAGAAAAAGTTACGTTTTGTTTATTGGCCATATTGGTGCCGACTTCTCTGGTCATCTATGCCAGGCTGATGAGGTTTCTGATTTATTTATCTAACCTTAACTCTACATTTTTTTTACTTCCTGATAGAAGGACCAAATGTAATTAGTTTCTAAAATGTTCTTGAATTTGAGTTTTTAATGTAAATTCCAGTGCTGTTAAAAAAAAACTACTTTACAAATTGAAGGCTTGTTTGCTTCCTACTACAATTTTAAAATATCATCGAAAACGAACTCGAAAAGTGGAAAAAAAGTGAATTAAAAAAAGGAACTATATTCTTTATTCTCAATAAAAAAACATAGTTCTCGGAGGAATGTTTACCAATTTAAACAGCCATTCACAGGGCTGCCAACTGTTCACCAAACCTTGGAGTGAGATTTTGAAATAGTTCGGATAGGCCACCCTTGTCAGGGTTAGATTGAAAGGCTCTGAGGATAGGTGCAGCTATCGGTTGGCGGTTTTCAGAGGATTTAACTGAAACAAAGTGGCAAAAGGTTGAATTTTTAAAGAACAGTAAATGTTACTGAATAACAATAAGTTATCTGTAGTTATGTGCAACATTTAACACACAAAAAAAAATATATATATACATTATTTTTGATATTCTGGGGATTTTTTAGAGAACTGAAGTAAAGAAGTACGGGCCCTACTAAAATAATTGCATCTTAAATATACTGTAAATTAAGAATTTTACAACTGTGTTTATTAATTATTCTATGCAGTTCAAGTAAAAATAAACAATGGCGAAATAATAGTTAATCACTGGATTACTGGCACTAATACAGGAACCAGTGCAATCAAATCCCGTGCAAACTACTTTGTGTAAGAATATTTCGTAATAGGCTGAGGATTAAAAAATCTTAACTCCTCATTTTATTAGTTTTCCTTACAAGTGACAAAACAGCTAAACAATTCAGAGCTTCTAGGAGGCTGTAGATGGCGGCAACAAGCGATTATTTTGCAAATAGACTAACCTGTCGATTATTTTTTCAATTAATCGATTAATAATTGGATAGCCAAAGGTTCCTTAAAAAAAGATTTTTTGTTTACGAAACAAAGTGAAGGTAAATCTTTTCCACTTGGGGAGTATAGAACATAATGTATTCTGAGAAAAGGGTCAGAATTCTGAGATTATAGTCAGAGTTTTGACTTTTTTTCCCATATTAAACAGAAATAATATTTATTCAGTTTAATATGATTTAATATATATTAGTTAACTTTTGTTATTTTTTTCAGTGGCCCTAATCCACTTACGTTAGCTCTGATCTAGCTAGTTAAATTAGTTTTATAGGAGACTTTTTTTTCTCTTTTCTTTACGACTGATCACTTCTGCTAGTTAAAATGGAGGCAAATTGCCAAATGGGAAATATATTTGGAATACACAGCAGACTTTAAAGAAGCTTGTTATAAACGAAAGCACCTTCCAAGGGAAAAGAAAAAATCCCCAATACACTTATGTCACCATCTGCTGGTAAAACAGAGCTTTCAGTGGAAGTTCATTAAATTAGCAAGTTGCCCTAAAAGTAAACCAGTCTGTCAAGGATATAGCGTTAAGCTAAGGGTTCTGCTAGCATCACTGAGATTTCAAATTACAAACTAGCTTCAATTTAAAATGTACTTACTTTGATGAACGATGCTTTACCAAAGAGCATGAAGTATTTGCTTGCTGTCCCCGGAGAGTGCAACTTCAGTTAAACTTTGGTGAAATAAGCCCGCTTTCACGAGACGTTATTAATGCTATTTTTTTCTTCTGTTTCCAAGCAACGACTGGACCGTTATTTGTTGGTTCCTTTCATGGCAATTAGACAAAGGTTATAATAGGGCAACACTTTACCAATATTATTATCATGTGTTAACGAGATTATAATAACTGATATTATCATTATTATCATGGAAATAATTCTATTAATAATGCTTGAAATATTAAATAATAATAAATACTATTACTACTGTTATAATATTGTCTATTTGATAAGTTTTTAAAGGATTTTGATTTTTTTTTCTCTAATCTATTTTACGTTCATATTCTTAATATTAATATAATTAATATTATTATTTTATTATAATGTGAAAGATTGAAGTGAAAATAAAAGTTTTTTAAAACGCATCCAAAGAGTTTCCGTAGTTTTGGGCGCTACCATTATAATAAGGGTATTCTTGTTATATGGGTCTGTTTCTGCTAGTTTGTATTTTATCAGTCTGAAACAAGTGATAAATGTTTCGTAAATTTCAGCTTATTGTAGAGATAAATTAACAAACTGGGACGTATAATGTGTCCATTTAGATATAGTCTTTTTTTTTTCCTCCAAAACATTCCCAACTAACTGAAATGGTTTGATCCCAGAGGTACTAGGAAAGACCAGTAAAGAGAAATCAAGTCCGTGACAGCGGAGAAAACAGACTTGTATTAAACTACCTGCTGTTCAGAGGTCGGTAGCACTTTCAAGACTTTTCCTCACCTGAGCGTTCTGCTCTGTCTGACAGTAGCGACATGTTTTTCTGAGCTGTCAGAGTGACTGTATTGAAACTACTAAGATGACACTTTGCTAGTGATGGCTACGCTAGCGCTAGCTAGCTCCTAGCCGGCTAGCTGTTAGCTATCGCCTACCAATTGAATGGGGTTGAGCAGGAAGAAGCAATAGCATGTTAGCGAGAGGCTAGTTAGCCCTTAGCTCGCCATCCTATTCTGGGATTGTCATTCCGCTAGCGAGTAACCTTTGCTTAGCTACGTTTATAGTAACGCTAAGAGGGGCGTTTATCGACAGACGGTAACTTGTATTTATCTGAGACGAGTTATTTTAAGAAATAAATGGCTGCTACCAAAACGGTCATGACGTTGCAGTGTTATATTTTGACGTTAAATGAACTCATACAACAGAGGGCCTTCGTTTTAGGGCATGATGTAATGTGAGTTTTGTGGTACACACCTGAGAGTTCATTGTGTTCTTGTGGGGGGGGAGCGTTGTTGCTGTGGTATTGGTAGGCTCCTTACGGGAATGAATGTGAAAAAAAAAGACCTTTTTGTAAACCCTAGCTTTAATAATAACGACTTGAACGGATGTTTCCAAGCCCAATAGACCTTAGACAAACCTTAGACATAGTTTCAGTATTTGCATTACTTTTTATTCTTTAATAAGGTAGTGTTTTTAAGCCCTATTCTTAGTCTTAGATAGGTCTCTAATATCATATTACCTCGGATTTAATGCCAGTAATATTGTCATAGCACTTTTTTTTAGCACAAGGTTGATTCTATCTTATGGGTTTCCATCTGATGTATAAATAAAAGTGTTAATTTTGCTCTAATTCTCTGTTCTTTAGGTGAAAGACAAGCATACCATGTCTTTAAAGCCACGGGTGGTGGATTTCGACGAGACATGGAACAAGTTACTAACTACAATCAAGGCTGTTGTGATGCTGGACTACGTTGAAAGAGCCACTTGGAATGATAGGTTCTCGTATCCTTTATTGTAATGTTTAAAGGTGAAGGATAGGTATACTTGGTTACATTTTATTTTTACCTACATATTTGAACCAGGCTTAAAGGTATTGTTCAGGATTTTCACCAATTCTTTAAAAGACCCACCATCTCATCTTTAAAAAAAAAAAATGCACAACCCTATACCCGCTCCCGAGAGGGAATGCCTATTAAACACGTGCGAGAGCATGCGTTTAAAAGTTGCTGTTTTTTTTAGTTCATTCAAGCTTACTGTGTCCGAACATCCACCCTAACAGTGTTCAATATAAGTGGACTTTATAGTGAACTCGGTTAACTGACCGTTCAGACAGATTTTCACTGCTTTTTGCTCCCCGTTGGTCAAGTAACTTCTCCTTCACTGCGCCATCTGTGCATGCTCCATCTTTGTTATTAGTTGCCGCTGTCGGGTAGCGATAGCAGGCCGCTGTGACAGCAAATCCCATAATGCTTTGCAAGGAGAGCTCTCCGCGAAAAGCATTCCGGGAATATAGCTGCCTCTTCTGTGGCCCTTCCGAGACACATTTTCTCTCTTACGACCCTCGGCCATTTTCTAAGAACCGCGGTGAGAAAGGTGAGCTGCAATGACTGTCTGAAACCGTAGAATATAATCCTGAAAGTTTGCATGTGCAGAAAAATATAGCTAATGTGACGAGCACGTAGGACGGCCTTACTTAAACATATCACCAGAATGACTGATAATTAGGGAGACCATTCATTAGATGATCCACCCGGAAATAAAAGATTGTCTTCTATACCTTTAAATCAAAAAGAATTTATGATTTTATTTTTAGTGATGGATTTATCAGTGTGAATGTATTTGAGGATGCACTCAGGTTTTTAAAACCTTCCATCAAGAGAATAGTCACCCTAACCCTTCCTGACCAGTTGCTGCACACTGCTTATCAGCTTTCTAAAGGATGAGTTAAGCAACACAGAAGAAACACAGAAGTTTGGCTGTTCTATTTTTCTTTCCTAGAGAACATATTGTGGGGAAACTAAAATCGCACCACTCATTACTCATAAAGATAACACTCCTTTAAAAAGACACTTGGCGAGCTCTGTGTAAGCTAAGCAGCTGACTATAAACCGGTTGGCAAGGCAGATAAGCCAGATAGAACCAAGAAATATCAGCTTGTTTTACTCCTAGTGTTACTCTGTTAAGAGCTGAAAAGCAACAAGGAGCAGTATTTCTTCTGAATAAGCACACATATATAAAAAAAACCCCGAAAGAGCTATTCCAAATATCAATGTCTATGTATTATAATGAAATGTAGCTACTGTGTTTTTGCAGTATTATTGTTCTACTCTGAAGTAAGCAAATTCAATCAAATGGATCAGTTTGTACAGTTTTTAGATGAATACAGTGATATCCTGGTATTTCTACAAGAAGTCACCATACTGTAAGAATCTCATACTTAGTAACAGAACTATAACTATACCATGGTTGGCTTAAACTATCCCAGGCAGTGTTATAATTGTGTAATAAATGACGTCTTCATCCTTAATGTCTACACCAGTGACATTTACGCCTTGTGCGTTGCATACCCAGAGCCTTTGGGTGAAAGGTTATACACAGAGACCAAGGTTTTCCTTGAGAACCATGTCAAGCAGTTGTACAAGGTAAGCACTCGCAAAGCCCCAAACTGATCCCCTTTTTGTTTCGAGCAGCGCTTCTGTTAATGACGCATTCTGTGTTTGTTTGGGAGTTTAGAAAGTCCTGGACTCAGAAGAAAAGGTGTTAGTCATGTACCACAGGTACTGGGAAGAGTACAGCAAAGGAGCCGACTACATGGACTGCTTGTACAGGTAATATGCTGCTGTTTATATCTGATATGTCAGTTTTAAATGGTCCCTTTTTTGCACCATTATTTTGATAACAATAGAATGTAATTCTTCATTGTCCCTGCTGTAAGGGTGAGCAGTGATTAGAGGTTTGACCTCATGGGTCTGAAAGAAAGGCTTTAAACTTCTTTAAAGCACAAACAATGTTAACTTAAAGATGTTTTAGTGTCTTTTTGGGGATTCAGCAGCTTGTAGAGCAAGCTAGAGCAATGGATGGTGGGTCAACATCACTTGAGAAGTGTTTTCTTTTAACCTACTCAGCAATAAACTAAACTCACAATATTTTAATGAAACAAAGTAGAAAAGAACAGTTTCTAAACTTTTTGGGTTTGACTTGGACAATAATTTATTATCACTATATATGTAATTTTATTTAAACACGGTTATGTGATGTCTGAACATATTTTTCGGCATTTCGACATATTCTACGGTTATAGTGTCTGCAGCACATTGGCTATTTGAGCACCACAGACAGAGCCTGTGACTGCAGCTGTAGGCCGCGCTCAGCGGTAGGCTAAGCTCCAACAGGGTCAGTTTTAGCAGAAAAAATTAGTGATTATAATAAGCTGAAGAAACTTTCCCTGTAAAGGGTAAAACCCCATCCTAGCAAATGTCTGACATTTTAGACTAATTAATTATTTATAAACAGTGCTTGATGTGTGCAATAATTAGAAAAACACTGGATTTTTTCCATTTCCCTACTGTAAGGACCCGTCTGCCTGAAATCACCAATATTTCTGTTGCTTAGAGAGGGTTAGCTCTTCCATTTAATTTCCTAATCAGCTCTGTATTATCTTTAGAATGTATTTTAACTCTGTGTTAATATATCTGTAGGGGGGGGGGGGGAATAATAAAATAGGTTAAAACTAAAGCATATGTTTATAGCTTGATGGTTTTGTTTGCAGTTTGAGTCATATGGCTTCTAAACAGAAGATGTGACCCAGCACAGATTTCATCCTCCTAAATCTGATGCTATGCAGCTACTTCAGCTAAATGGGGCTTCAGAATACAGAAAGTGCGCATTCTTTTTCACAACCTAAAGTTATCTCGCCTGCGTTTTTGATGGTTTGTTTTAGGGCTGAAACAATTAATCAAATTAATCGTGATTAATTGATTTTTGAAGTAATCTAGTCAGTAAATTAATAAACTAATTTAGTAATGGATTCATTGTTAATTTTGAATTTAAGATAAAAAAAAAAATGTTTTCGTCTGTCAGTATGCTCTATCCAGGACTCCTCAAGTGGAAAAGGTATAGTTTCACCTGGTTTAATTTAGTAAAGTCTTCTTTAAGGAGCCTTTTGCTGTCTGATTATTAATCGAAAAAAATAATCAACAGATTAATCTATTTACATAATAATCGTTAGTTGAAGCCCTAGTTTGTTTTATGCCTAAAATATTTCCTTGAAAGTGGTTTTATTGTATGACTGCAACCATTTAGATTTAGCATTTCTTTAAATAAAACTTTTAGATCTATTTTTCATTTTTTCTGCCTGCCTGCAAATGTCTGTCATTTCTAACGATTACCTAATGAAGATCAGTGACTGCCTACTATGAGAGACGGAGTAAGGATCTGTCAGTGTTGTAGAAACAGCGGGAGTTATATGGCTGTTTTATCATTTGCTTTCAAAAACTCCATGATGCTAATTTCTTTGTAAAAGGCTCAATTTGAATATCTGATTAAACCACTGATGGAGGACTGGACTTGGCATTTTACCATGATAGAATATTACGTCAGGAGAAAGCTGCTTTGACTTAGGTTTCAATCATGGGCTTATTTAGATTATTGCTGTATTTTTCCCCTTTTTGATGGTGGCTTATTTGTACATGTGGGAATTTTCAGAGATTTGGAGAAGAAGTGAAACTGAAGTTATTGAACATCTGACAGTTTCGTTCTATGTGTGAGCTACTCATTCAGAAATAGCAGCTTACATTAGTTCCACTTTAAATTAGGGCTGAACGATTTTGGGAAATCATGTAACTGCAATTTTTTATTTTATTTTTTATCTTAATATTGCAATTGCGATTTAATGCGATACATTTTTTTTCACCTTTACTTATCATGTCCTTTTAAACAAACACACACAATAAATCTGTTTCATAACAATCATCAGATTTATTTAAAGCACAGATTACAACGATAATAACTGGACTCTGCCAGATGGATTTGCTCCGCATATCCATCTGGAAACCTTCTGTTGAAGTAATTTTGGGAAGGGGCGAAAATACTGGTTAGCTGATTGGCCTATGTCGGTGATAGACGGGCCAAATAAACCAATCAGATCAACGAAGCATATGACGTACTAACAGAGCGACAACGAAGAGAAGCCAATTGATAGATCAAACTCTGGCCGAAACCAGTCGGGAGAAGAGCAAAAACATCTTTTCCTCTGAGAAAAGCCTCCAGAGCAGTGTTTTGCTCTTCTTTCAGTGAAGAAATACTCTAATTCCAATAAAACTTGCCCTGAGAGCCACGCTAACGCTAGTTTCATCGGCTGAAGCCGCCATGTTCTTTAGACTGAACTGTCGCGCTTCTCGTTGCGTCACACCTCAACCCGCCTCAAAGCCAACGCTGATTGGACGTTCGTTTGGTGAACGGCTCCAAATTTTCTTCAACGGAGAGTCTCCAGACTGATTAGCGAGTGAAATCTTGAAAGCTTGCGA